GGTTAAGTTCGCACCCCTGCGGCCCAGGGTTCGGAGGTTCGGATCCTGGGTGAGGACCGACGCATCACTTGTTAAGCCATGCTGTGGCAGCGTCCCATATAAAGTAGAAGATGATGGGCACAGATGTTAGCCCAGGGCCAATCTTCCTCAGCAAAAAGAGGAGGATTGGTAACAGATGTTAGCTCAAGGCTAATCTTCCTCACAAAAAGAAAGAAAGAAAGAAAGAAAAATAAAAAATAAAAAACATTTATTGAGCACTTCCTCTGTGGCAGGCATTGTTCTAAGTCTTGGAAATACATCAATAAAAAATGCAAATGAAAATCCCACCTTTGTCGAGCTTATATTCTGATAGGTAATAATAATAATAGCTATTATTTGTCAAGAATAAAGGCACTTTTCTTATCTCATTCAACCCTTTCAATATCTCTGAGTAATAGGTATTAATATTCCCACCTTACAGGTGAGGAAACTGAAGATTAATGAATCAACAGAGCTTGCCCAATAATGTAGCTCAGCTAATATGTGGCAGAGGCAGATTTGAACCCACATGTTTGACTCCAAAACTCACATTATTTTTACAGTCCTAGTATGTTGTTATTGTCACTGATGCTGTCCCCATTTTACCAATGAGGAACAAGATATGTGGAAGCCAAAAGGCTGTGGAAGGAGACTATATATTCAATATGACTGGTAAATAGGACTCAAGCCTGTGATTCCTTTTCCCTGGGTCAGAGCTCTAGTCTGTCATTTCTATTGATCACCCTCCCCAAAAACTCCTTGGCTTTCTAAATCAAAGAGCTGGCCAGAGCCAAAGCAGGTCCTCTTTTGGGCGATCATCTACATCCAGCTCCCATTTCTGAAGCGTTTTGAGAACTCCGTGTAGGATTCAGAGTGGTTGTTTGGAGGTAAAGCCCTGACCATCTGCTAACATGAATGATGGAGTGCATTTGAGAAAAGTATTTCCCACAGTGTGTCCCTCAGGATACTAGTTCCACGGGATGATTGATACGTCTTACCATTTTTAAAAAGCGAAATCATTTGGAAGAGTTAACATACTAGGTTTCCTGTGCAGGATTTTTTAAAGCCTTTAGTATGGTAATATGCTCTGTGATTCACCAGGAAGGGAATATGATGTGTGCAGTGTTGCTGTTCAT